AGGCAATTAGCTCGTTTTGTATCGTTTTGCTTACCAAAGAAGCATTGCGTTTGCAAGATTTCAAGTGATCTTTCAAGTTTGTATCTCCTCCCCGTACTCTCAATCGCAGCAATGCCCTGAAGTTTCCATCATTGTGCTTGGGTTCCATCCCAGTTGAATCTACTGGTCCATCATCACGATGGCCTCTAAGCGCAATATTTTGCCTGGCGCATGTTAGAAGGGTGTCGATGATGGGAACCAGCGCAGTCCTGTTTCTTTCAATCTCTTTCTGCCTTTCAATGTTCATTATTGATCGAACGTCCTTCTCACTCCCAGGTGTTGCACGGCTCAAGAACTCCGTGTACTTTATGGCACATGTCTTATGAAAAGATGTTTCTTGGTGACTTGTGAGGGCTCCATTTTTCCCTGTCAAGTCTGAAAAGTTTACAAGAGGCTTGTTAACAAGTTTGCCCATTGACTGGCCTGCTCCACCTCCGTATTGTGCACCTCTTCCACCTCCACTCTCGCACGTCTTGAATAAAACGCAATAAACACACCAAGCACCGCAACATTTTGGCTCTCTGCTGACAGCTAGCCAGGGGAAGGTTTTCAAGTGATTTTCACCCAGAAAACGCTTCGTTGTCGAGGACATACCAACCATGAGCTGATTCTTTGGTTTTTTCTTTTCAGAAAATGGATATTCATCCCTTCTCTGCGGCACCCACCTCTTCGATAAATATGCTTCCCTTTCGTTATCTGTCAGCTGTTCTCCTCGTTTTGTTTTCATTATAGCTCTACCAATGTCATATCTATCAGATATTGCAACATTTACTTGTGTCGCCATACAACAGAGGTCTGGGTGTGTTTCCTCTTCAGGACAATCCTGGACTACCGCAACTTGGCTTTGTGTGTCGAATTCTTCACCAGTAGATTTTGATTCAAATTCTTGGCAAGTGGTAGTTTCACATGTTTTAGAGATTTCAGGGTTATCTCCAACTGAACTGGTGCGGCTACTTTTTGAGAAGAATGATTCAAGAGTTCTTGATTTCTTTGGCGGACCAGACATTTTAATCAAACCTCCAGTCGGCTTTATTCTCTCGCTTTCAGTGAGGCAATAAGTTGCAAGTGGATGTGTAACACAAGAATTATGATAAGCCTAAAACAATAGTTCAATGCAAAATTAGATGTGACCGGATCTTGCGGCTCATATGGACTATGGTTTAACACAAATCATGACTGCGATCATGAATGAATGACGTCTGCAAACGTTAATGGTTGAGAAAGTTATGGCTAAAATGGGTTACAGTTCAAACATTGTTCATCGTGTTATTGCGATTGTGATACCCAAAAAGCGTCACTATTTCCAACAAAAGCAAAACAGTACCTATAACTACTCAGCTTTGCCTGTTATGCTGCGATGAATTTTTGGTGACTACCCATTTTGAAAATTTACCATTCAAATTATACGCACCAAATACGTGGGGACTTTTGCTCATTTTCTAAATCTTTTTTTCATCTTAAGGGTATGTGTCTTATGCCGGCTTCTTGAACACAGGAATTATAATGTCATTCACGAACTCTGATGCGTCATAGTTCCCCTCCCAAGTCAAGCGCGAAAGCTGCTGACCAAATATTCAATATGAATATTTGTAAAGGCTGAAATACACGATCAGTTTTTTATGTCAGTTTTCCCCAAAGTTATTTCTATATCCGTTTTTCATCAGTTTAACCAAAGAAGCGCGTGTTTACACGATTAGCCAAAGTTCATCAATTTTTCATCATGTATTTTAGCCTTTACTTCGCTTGGAAGTTTCTCGCAGCAATGAAGTTTCTTAATTTTCAGTGTTCTGAGAGTGTACCTTCTTATGAAATTTTTTGATAGAAAGGGGCGTTTCCCGCGTTCGGTGAGACTTTGAAGGGCGTGTCTGTGAAATTTTCGCAGGCCTCCTCTTCTTTCATAAATGGCCCTCCCCAAACGCAGACGCTGGATCCGCCCCTGCTCAGGATGTACTTCTCTTTACGGAGCAGTCAAAGAACACACCAGATAGATCCAAACACACTTTGAAAGCTGAAAACTAAAGAGAACAAAGACCTTCTCTAAAAGTATTTAACTCGTAACAGTGACACTTCATCTTGCGGTTTCAAATGACCTCGAAATTCATCTGAAAATGACATCAAAGCATCTGAATCATTTATCTAGAGATACCTCTGGATTTCGGACATCTCCAGGCGACGAACGCCTTGAAACAACGGACACCTCGAAACAGCGGTAACCTCGAAAAATGGGCACCTTCTAGAAACGGACAACTTACAACATCGGGCAAGCAATGTTGTTCCAGCATTGTTTTCATGCGGCGAAATTATTTTATATGTTATATCTAGACAACAGATATTTCCCAAAAACGGGCATCTTCTAACAGCTGATACCTCCAAACAACGGACACCTCCAAACAACGGACAGCTCCGAACGAAAAACAGCTCCGAACAGCGAACACCACTCAACAGCGGACACCACTCAACAACAGACACCTCACGAAAACGGACACTGGATCAAGACAATGGATAAACAATGTTGTCCCAGAATTGACTTTATAACTTGGCTACAGTCTGGTAAAAGTGACCTTCAAACAACGTATAACACCAACAAATAGTGTATCGAAGAGTGACGTCATCAAAAATCTATTTTTAGAATTTCTTCAATTTGGCCACATGATCTGAAAGAACGGCATAAAATACCTCTCAATATGCAAAATTAGTTACATAAGTTCCAAATTCGGCGAGATAGGGCTTTTAAAACAGCTTTTTGTGAGTATTTGTCATATCTGCAACGCTATTGGAACGATGGGCGACACCACTCCAATCACTTTTGTAGCTTATTATTGTAATATTTATGTAAAGTATAAGTCTTAGGGTTGTTATGCATTTCCATGCTCCCTAGGCTTTTGTATTGTAATTGATTGTCATTGTAAATTTTTTGAGAGTATAAAAAAAAGATATGGCCAATAAAAGATTTCAAGTTTGTTAATGGATTACTGTTATTCTGGCCTGGTTAAAAAGTTATGAACCAAGACCAAATTACAGAGGTTTGATGGGGCAAGGGCCTGTGCTCAAGTGGCCATATCTCAGCCAATTAGTAATGCCTTTAACTGATTTTGCATATCTAAAGGTATTTCTTGATGCTCTTTCAGGTTCCGGGATCAAAACTCAGAAATTCTAAAAGTAGAGGTCCCACAGATGTCCGAGAGGGTATTTGCCTAAATGTTCAGTGAAGAAGGCTGAGAATGAAAGAGGAAATGCAAGCATAACGTTTCAAAACCTTGAGAATGAAATCTATGTCTGAAAGCTAAGAAAAATGAAATCGAGCAAACTATGACAAGTAATTGATTTCTATTGAGCCAATATACATGGATGAATGACCCGTGTCGCAGTGAATCGTTCGGTGATATCATAGTTATAAACTATGGCGATATTCATATAAAATCTTTGATGGCACTAGGGTGGCTCTATCAGCAAAAAGCAAAGCGAATTCCTAACTTAATCGACTTGCACTTTCAGCAGGGAAGGCGCATTACTTCTGGATCCGATTATAAAAACGTCAGTCAAAATGATACGGATGAGAGTTGCTTTGAGCTTTAAAATTTTTAGCTTGTGCATCAGGATGCAACAAATTTTGGTGTTTGTTTTGAAATTTGGTAGAGTTGAGAGTAAAGCCTTATGTGAGAATAAACTGAAAAATACGAAAATGCTGCTCTAAATGCAGGTGTAAAATGTTTTTGCTCTAAAAGGAGCATGCTACCACTTTATCGAGCAGACGCTTTCCAATACACTTTGATCCATTTTCAGAAGTATTGTGCGGACCATGCTTTCACAAAATGGAGGGAAGGTGCATAGCTATCCCAAACCCCTTTGCGGTCATCACTTGATTAAAGTCTCAGAGGGGTCCACAATTCATTTTCAAGATTGCAAGATATCAAAACATGCACAGGGTCACAGAGATCACAAGATCTCAGACAATAAGGTCGCTTAAAATAAATGATCCTTTTCTTATTAAAACGAAAACAAGAATGCTAAAAAGGTGTCTCCCTTAAATCTTTCATGAACTGTGACATCGATTGAAACTAATATGTGAAAAATTTTCAATTGAAGATTAATTTTCCTCTATTTTAGACAACCCTTGCTTGAAAAGGGACATTAATGGATATGCCAACTACTATATGCATACATTATCGCATTCACAAACCTTTTAGGTTACACACATTAACAATGTGTTGATGACGTTGCAAGTCTTTGGGGTTTTAAAAAGAAGATAAAGCCTGGTTTCCATAAAATCGTAAGAGTCGGGAACGTGTCGCCGATCCCTTCTTCCATCTTTCATAACGATCAAAGAAAAAGTGTTCCCATGACAACAAAACAACAGCAAGCAAAAACGCGCCAAATCATTTTACTTTGATTGGTTAATAACATCCAAGTGATTGTTTCTTAACAAAATTGGATCGGCGACCCGTGTTCCCATTAAAATTTTCTTTGATCGTAAGAGTCGTAAGAGTCGGGAAAGCTGAACTCACATCAACTCTCCCGACCCTTACGATTCACAGTCGGCGCAGTCGTAACGATCGGAAGAAAGTGTTCCCATAAACTCGGGAGACCAACGCAGACCGTCGATGGGAACCAGGCTTGAGGGTGACAAAGGGCGCGAAGAGCCATGTGTTAAAGGCAGAGGCGACAGAAGCTTTATGATGCGACGGGGGCAGCAACTGCAGAAAGGGCACCCTGGAAGTGTCAAAGTTTGCTAATGAAACAAATCGGGAATCGTCGTTAAGCCCATGGCGAAGTCTGGTTGTAGGTGAAGACACTGTCAAGGGTGAGGTGGTTAGTGTTCTGGGGGCGTAGCCCCTAGGGAAATTGTGCGTTGCTACGCCCT